ACAGGAGTCAATGATTTGACTCATATGGATTAAGTTCTAATTGTAAATTTTGAAGGAAACATGTTTGGAATGTGTAATACTTAATCTCCCTTGTCAAAATGAGGAAATATAGACTCAGCTGGCAAATGGGATCAGGTATGCATGCCAGTTTAGGATTACCTTAATTATCTGGTCCATGGTGGGTGGCACTATTCCCTAGGCAGGGATCTTGGTCTGACACATATCTTATGTCCACCACTTCTCTCACTTTGGTTAGTATTTCAATTTTGTCCTAAGATGGCAACAGCTCAACAACATCATTATCATTCCTTAAAACTGTTTGCAAAATAACTGAAACACAGACCCGCCACATTTTATGAGTCAACAACTGCCTAAACTGAAGAAAGGTTGAATGCATTCATAGGACTACTTGGGTTTCTCTGACTATTTTTCTATCACAAATGCTATAAATTTGGCTTCATCAAGAGTTCATAAGAGTTCTGGAAGTTTTTACATAACAACAAACCAATGGAATTCAATTCAAGTTAAAATATCCTTTTTGACAGCAAAGCCATTGAAAGAATAGGAACTTATCAAAATAATGGAGTAAAAATGATGTGAACTAGAGCTTGAAGGTTGCACTTTCTCAACGTGATACAGTCCATTGTCAGAGGACTGAAGTCCTGTCTAAATATGGCATTTCTACAGAATTTACCTAGGGAGAAATCTTCCATTCCTATTGAGATCAGTTTTTTCCTTAGAGAGTCAGTTTTACGGTAGATGAAGAAGGAGAGTCATTTTCTTTGGTGGTGAACCCACTAGTAAGGTGATCAATCCCCCCTCCACTCACATGCCTGTAAGCAACACTCCTGAAACTCATTACATTGTCAAAAGACATAAGTAGAACTGGGCTCATTGGGAAGAGGAAGGGGATTCACAGGAGTGAAGCGAGCACAAGCGATGGCAATGGTGGAGGCATTAACATGATTGAAGTGCATTATGTTCATGTATGAAATGCCACAGTGAAGCCCATTATCAGATATCATTAACACAAGCAAAGAAAATGCATTTAAAAAGAACCAGTTTTAATATTTCTCAGAAAATTAAAATGATAACTTCCTAGGAAAAAAGTCAACAAAGAAAATTAGTTTACAGAATCTGAAAATATGTTAACTTGAGAGTTCAAGTGTGGAAACAGTCAATGAAAGGACTGATGTTCTCATGGTCTTCACTGGCTGGAGAGCTGAGAGCTCTGCGATGAGCTATGCTAACCAGGCTACATGGCCTTCCTTTGAGCTCACAGGGACTGATTAGAGAGAGAAGGAAAACTAACATTAGCCACACGTGTGCCACATGCCAAGCCCTTTATGCACAGGAAGTCATTTACCCTGCCATATATAACATCATCTCCTTCTAAAGATAAAAACGTGTAAAAAATTGCCAAAAGTAGCTCAGAGAGCAAACTAAATTTGAAACTTGAAACTATGATTTTCTGGCTTCCAGACTTTTTTTGATATGGCATATGCTTTCCTCTATGAATTAAATAAATGTCATTATTGGCAGCAATGTACATGTGAATGGATTGCATACAGTTACACTTTCACACTACAAATTGTGAATGTGTGCACACACATGCAGTTACAAATACCCTCTCATCAATAACACTAACTCTCCTCTTGGGCCTGTGTCTCCCCATTTACTCTGTTTTACATGTGGCAAGAAAGACCTCTGAGACATAAATCTTTAGTTGGACCCTCACATTAGACACATTTCTGGGAAAGCCGTTGTGCTTTGCCTATGAAAACATGGGAATAATGAAAGCAACTGGAGGACAGTGACACATTCACTGAAGATGTCATTTGGCTAAAAGTTGACAGAGCTCAGGACTGGGACACAGGACGCTACCCTAAATTATATATATATATATTACATCATTAATTCTGAAGAACCACCCAAGAGTGAAAGTATAATCTTGCATTCAATCGTCTGTACAAACATATGGTATAAGTGTGAGTGCAAGTGCTAGTTAAATGGTCTATTCTGTGAATATAGAGAATCATGGGTTGACTCTTGTCAAATAGACTGTAAGACACCCATTCCATTTTGTGGTTAACTATTAATTATTGATGCAAATACTAGGTTCCTACAAAACACTGGAGAACAATATGTGAATACATAATTATGATAGCCCTTACATATTCCAAATATGTGTCATTTTTGTGGATTTTCAAGAGTAATAAAATATAGTCCTTCTGATTTTTTTTTCTATAGCCAGACCAGATTGCAATAAATTGTAATTGGTATAATGCCCAGATATTTCAAGGAATGATATGCTGCAGATAGGGAAACCAAATAGCATTCAATAGTTAATCCAATAGTAAAGGACCACCATTTCCTGCAGAGTGAAAACATAGAAAGAATATTTGCAAAGTGGCAAAGTAAATAAAATGACCACTAAATCTATTGATAATATTGTTAAGGCATGGTACACTTTTATGATTAGTTGTACAAGTAAGGTTTCTTGGCAATGTAGAAAGGGGAGGAACAGATCAATAAACATAATTATGCATGCATGCTCTATAAGCTAATGTGTTAGAGGTAAGAAAAATTTAAGCTTAATGGGAACCATTATAATTGCAATAGGTAGCTTGCTTAGGATGCCAAGAACCAGCCAATTCCAGGATTACCACTGAGATCTAACATCTGACCCAAGTGTCTTTTGCTTTAACAGCACTGTACCTTTCCATTTCAGACTGCACATTAGCTTTATGCCCCATTAACTGAACGTTTATATTAAATTTTATCATTGGATTCCATTCATTGCAGTCACATGCACAGTTTTGCTGGCATGGCAGAAATTCTCTTCTCTTTTTTTTCCTACAATTAATTATTACTCCATAAAATGGGGCTGTTACTTAATTCAGATTCATTTGTGAAATACCAGCAGGAAAAGGTGAAGTTACAAAGTATCTTCCCAATATTAGGGCTAGGTTTTAAAACATCAGATATGGAAATAAAATTTAAATGGGAAAGGGGAAGGATCTTCTGAAACATTCTGTAGAGAAATGAGAAAATGTTTCAGATCCTTCTACTTCCCAAGCTGCTATACGTACCCCAAAATGCAGAAAGTGATTTACTAATATTGATACAAAATTGTGTATGTTGGAAACACAGTTACCAATTCATTATAAATATGTAGCATTGGAAATGGCTATAAACCAGATTCTCCACATTTGTTTAAGAAAACATGAGGTGAGAGCATGGGTCTCTGTTACTGACTCATGCTTCCACTTAATTAAAGATCTCTAACAAATGCATTTTAAAGACTAAATTATTTTGAATTGCTTTTGGCACCTAAACAGGTATGACTACCATGTTTCTATAAATGAAGTCACTTTTTCACATTTTTGCTTTAATTTTTTATTTAATATAATTGAACTTGTATTAATTAACTGTCCCACAAAGTTCTATCAAGTTCAAGTAGCTAGTTCATAAAAAAATACATTACCATAAGAGTTCATAGTTAGTGATATTAGTAGATCAATATATAAGTTTTCTATGTCTATCCAAAAGAACAATCCTGGCTTAGGAGATAGACAAAATAAGTATGTCCAGTCATATTAGTCTACAGAAATATATCAAGATACGAGGTCATTGTCAGTAGTCATGAAAAGAATGTCTCCTAAGATGCATAAGTCAAAAGAAAGTTTATGTGGCAGAATTATGTAAGGAAACTTACGGTAGTGCCTGCCCACAAACCATGCAATTTAGAAACAGCCAAGAAACAAAACCAGAGAGAAGGGATCAATAGGATATGTATTAAGGGTTATTATGCAACTACAAAGATTCAATATGACCCTGGCAATATAGCAAAAAATAGTTATGGAAAAGAAGCTATTTCTTATGCTCAGTAGCTAATTTTCAAACATATGTACCTGTATTTGAAACTTTGAGCATTTCACACATTTTTCTGTATCTGAAAAAAAAATGGATCCAGACTGATATTGTGTATCAATATAGCTGAAAACAGTTAATATAAAGGTAGCCAAAAGCAAAGTTCAGTAAGAATTTATAAAAAGGACATTGTTCTGACTGCTGAGAAAGTACTTGTAATGTACACTTTGCTCATATTGGAAAAAAAACTAATTTACTTTTCAATTTTGCTAGAAAGGATGAAATATATATACTAATATGATTTCACAAAGTTTTTAATTAAGCAAAATGTAGATTAAAATGTGTAGATCAAATTTTAGGTACACTTAGAAGCTTCAGGCCTGAAATATAACTTCATTTTGACAACAAATATATTCCAGTATCTAACAGTTAATTAAATCTGCTTTTCACATAATTTACATTAAAAGCATATATTTCCATTTTTAAATGTTCATGGGCATTAAATACATGAAAATAACATATTTTTAAATAGGAAAATCATAAAACATAAAGAAAATTAAGAAAATACATAAAATTTTCTTATCTGTGCTACTATAAGAATGAAATAAGAACTATGTAAACATATTAGTAGTATAAAAATTCATAACTTCCAGTCCATAAGTCATATATTATGACACATTGAAATATATTTTAAATGTCTTCCTGTTTATAGCTATTTGACTGGGAATTCTATGCTTTATATATATATATTAAATAAAGCAGTATAAGATTTCTAGAGATAGGCTTGAATTTTATGCAATAGACTGTGAACTTACAAGTAAAATAGGCACTAATAATCCCGGAGTAGGTTTGGGTTCTGACCATGATGCAGTCTAGCCTAACAGTATTTCTAATTGCTTTACCCCATCTTAACATGCAAACATAGGAAGTTCAGAAGCATGCTTCTTTTTTTCCTTTCTTTTTGCTTTTTAACTTACCGCTTTGTAAGTTCTCTTTTGTCCAGCGTGTTTTCGAATTTGTTCTCCATTCGGCCCTGTTTCCACATGCATCGAATAGATAATGTCAAAGAAATCTTCAACCACAGCTACGCGCCTTAAAGACAGCTTCTCATCCACACCTACGCCATCCTGGAAACGACACAAAACGGAAAAAAAAAAAAAAAAGAAAGAAAGAAAGAAAGAAAGAAAAAAACAAAACAAAAAAATTCGTTAGATTAATGACGTTGTTTGAATTTGACAATTTGACTCATGAAGCTAATTAAACCAAAACGTTTTGATAACAAGAAGCAAAGAATCACCACAGAAAACTTCAGAAATGCTAAAGCAAATTTCCCACCATTTTTTTTCAAAACATGGTTTTACATATAACTCAGGCTGGCCTTAATCAGTCCTCCTGACCCGAATCCCAAGTGCTCTGATTCTAGGTGGACACCACCATATCCAGCTATCCCATAATTCTATGTATTATGTACATATTGAAGTATAAAGTTGGACAAAACCATGGTTATTAACTAAATCATATTTACCCATCAATTCTATCTTTTAGGCACCTCAGATGATTCACAGCCATTAGCATAACTTTAAAAATAAAGTAACATAAATTTTACCACCTAGTAATTTTTATTGCAGTAATTCCACTCTAGATACTCAATTCATTCAAACAATATTTAAGTTGCCAGGTCCAGCAAGTTGTATTTGGAAAAATAAAATAACAGAGTCTCTACCTCTCAATTCATAACTTAAGAAATAAAAGACATCCCTTATCAATTCTATACCAAGGAACAGAGATATTACAAGTTTAAAATGACATCTCTAAAGGTAACTAATGTGAACTGTGGATCTTCCACAATCTGTACAAATTAAGTAGGCATCTCTAACTTGCAAGTTTCACAGCTGCAAAAGAGGGACAGTAGAGCCCATTTCACAGACTGTTGTAAGCAGTAAGGGAAAGTGTGTATGTAAGGGATGTAACCCAATCTGCCAAATTACAAACCCTTAGTGAATGGTGGGTGGCCCTTGTCATGTTAATGACCTATTAAAATACAAAGTACTATAGGAGTACAGAAAGTAACCATCCTGGCCCTTGTTATAGTAGCTTCTTGGGAGAAACGTAGTTTGACATCTGGGGAGGTTAGAGTAGGGCATAGATCACGACAGGGGAAGTACAGCCAATAGCCAAGAGTTCACATGACTGATAAATTATTAAGAAGGAAGGATTGAGATACTGAAATTTTTTAATATCACATGAAAGTGCTTAATGTTTTGTGACTGCATGAAAGGGATTCCATGCAAACACACACCTCTGCACATACACTCACACACACACACACGCACAAAAACACACACACACACTCCTACACACTCAGACACTCACATGAATGCAATCATGTGCATAGTGTTCTCATTTAGAGTGTGATGTATCGTGACAACCACTATTGCTAGAAAACACCATGAGGATTAAGTGGAAGTTTTAAGTATTGAATGAGTCAAAGGCAAGAGCCTCCCTGAACAGTAACCCTAATATGCTGCATTTACTGCTAACCCACAAGCAAGTCAGCTTCTACTTTGGGGTTAACCTGTGGCTTTTACTCATGTACTTGTGGTCTGCAGCAAGCTTTGTATGTAGTAGCATACTCATATGCTACTGCACGGATGAGATGGCCAGTGCCCCAAAACAGCAGACCCTTGACTGCTGCTCAATTTGAAATATTCCCTCACACATTCCCGGTGATGCATTCTGGTTTAGTCTTCAGACCTTTATTTGTATCACTTCTTTAAAGTCTTAAGGCATCTCTTCTATAACAGAGCCCCAAGAATAACAGCTCCTGCCTTGTGACAGGGGGCCAGTGTGCAGTAAGGAAATAGAGAAATTACGTGGAAGTCAAAAGTGATCAGCCTGGAAACACAGCTTAAAGGGCAGTGGCCTCCTTCAAGTCCACATCCTCTATCTTTAGACACCATTCATTTCCCTAGGTGGAAATCCAAATTCTAACTCAATTCATCCATAAAACTATCCACAGAACTTTGCTTTCTCCCCATCATAAAATCCATAAAATCTATACAGTGTCTACTGTCTACTCCTGTTTGTTTCTTGAATAACCCAGTGTGTAGTAACTTTGGATAGATATTGCAAAGGTACATAAAGTAATATATTGTTTGTTCCCAGATTCATTTGCATCTTACTTGCCTAGTTAAACATTAAAATCATATCCTGTTTACTCATTTTCTCAAGTACACAACAAAACCTAAACATGGCCAAGCCCTATGCTAGTTGTGAAACCTACCATGATGCAAAGTGTAGATAACTGAGGGCTTTGCTGCACTCACTGTCTAGTGCAGAAAATACATATTGAAGAAATGATTTCTAGGGTCATATATTAATTTCTGTTTGTCTCCATTCCTATAACATAATTTGCTTAAAAATGAAATTTTCTTTTTCATAGTCCTGGAGGTCACAAGTTCAAAGTCAAATTGTTAGCACAACTATATTTTATCTGGAAGCTCTGATAGAAAACCATTCTCTGCCTCCTCCAGTTTCTGGCTCTCTTCTGTGTACCTTCCTTCCATTTATCTCTACCTTAATAAGGAACTTCATGACGGTAGTTAAGACTCATCACATGGGAAATGAGAGATAGCTCATGGTGTACAGTGCTTGCTGTGCAACCTTTCGGACCTGAGTTTGAATCCTCAGAACCCATAAAGCATGGTGGTGTGTTTCTGTAATCGTAGTACCCTTATAGGAAGATGAAAACTGGAGAAACCCCAGCTTAGAAGCCAGCTATCCTGGTATTCACAGAACTTAACAAAAAGATATTCTGCCTCAAACAAAGTAGAACGGAAGGACTGACACCCAAGGCCGTCCTCTGACCTCCATACATGTGCTGTGTGGCATGCAGGTGTATGTGTACTCACACAGAAGCATATGAATATATGCACTTATCATACACACACATACACACACACACACACACACACACACATGCACACACACTCACAAGATCCACCAGATAATCCAAGATCGATTCATCTCAAAATCCTTAACTGCATCATTAGTGACCCTTTTTCCAACAATGGTGCAGGTGAAGCTCAGTGGTAGCACACGTGGTTATCACACTGAAGTCCCTGGGTTCAGGGCCCAACACAACAAAACAACTACGAATAACAAACAACCACAAAACAAATGTAACATTGACAAGGTTAAGGAATAAGTATGGATGTCATTGGCTGGCCATTCTTCATCCATCAGGTTCCATTAGCAATAGGCTGCCCAGCTTGTTTGATGGTGTCATTTACTGCAGAGGCCCCACAATCATTTACATCAGCATTCTTCTACGAAACTGGAAATTCAGTGCTTTCCAAAATTATATCAAAATTATCTATACTGAGAGAGGGACTGGTCTGTTACCTTTCTATCAGGCAGATCCACATGGCTAAACTGTGATTCAAGCTCATCTAATACCCACATTCTATGATTAAAACACAAAACTATCTTCAGAGATGATTCCTATAGTGAGCCATGCACGCATGGTTGGTTCAAGTCAGTGAAATTAGGCAAGATAATGATAGAGAGACAGAAAGAGAGAAAGAGAGAGAGAGAGAGAGAACCCAGGCATTCATATTGGAAAGAAAGACAAACCTATCATTGTAATTATTTGCACATCACTTATGAGAAGGCCTGATCTCATACACTGAAAATTCTAAGGAATCTCTTTCTAAAAATTGTTAGGATTTATAAAGGAGTTCAAATTCAGTATTTAAAAAGCAATTGTACTTCTGTTCATTAGTAACAATCAGAAGCTGAATTAGGAAAAATAATGTCACAAATTCAGACACCTAAACAATAGAAGATTTAGGAATAAATTGAGATATATTAATAAAAAAAGCTTAAGACTTTTACCCTGAAAAATCGCAAAATGTTTTCTAAAAAAAAAATAAAGTGACATAAGTAAATGACAAGGTATTCTATTCATGAGTCAGAAGAAAATGCAGTTAAGACAACAACGCTTTGTAAATTTAGTAACATGGGGCTGGAGAGATGATGGCTCAGCAGTTAAGAGAACTGGATGCTCTTCCAGAGGACCCAGATTGGATTCCCAGCACCCACATGGCTGGCTAACAAGCATCCTTGACTCCAGTTCCATGGGATTCCTTGCCCTCTTCTGGCCTCCATGGGTATTGCACAACAAGAGTGCCTTTACATACATGCAAGCAAAGCATTCACACACACAAAATAAAAATAAAAAGATAAGGTTGATTTACAGAATCAATGAAGTCTCATTCTTATATTCTAATTGGATTTTTTAAATGACAAGTTGATTTTATGATAATATACGTAAATGCAAGGGAATTGGAATAGCTAAAATAATCTTTTAAAAGATAATGCTTAGAGCTTACATCCTTCTTAATTTCAAGGCTTACTATAAATCCAATACCACAATTAACACAACTAATAGCATGAAAATTGTACGTATGAATGAGTAACATAGAATATAAATTTCAGAAATAAAGCCTTACAGTTAGAAAATTAATTCTTAAGAGGACTCATGAAACATCACGAAGGAGCATTCTTTCCCACAAATGGGACCAAGACAACTAAGCAGCCACATGCAACACAACAGAGCGGGTCTTTGTCTGCTAGATTTGGAATATAAGAACTAAACACAAGAGCTAGATCATGAAAGTCTTGCAGGACACTATCAGAGGAAAATGTTGGTGAAAACACCAAAAGCAAAGCAAAAATCATAACATTAAAAGTAAAAACGTTTTGCTGCAAATGATGCAGCACAATAAAGCAGAATGGCAGCCCTCAAACACTGGATAAACTGCATGAAGATCTTAGGCACACAGAGATGGTTCAGCTGTTAAGCGTGATTTCTGCTCTTCCTGTGGACTAGAGTTTGGTTCCCAGCACCTACCTCAGGTGACTCCCAACTGCCTGTAACACCAGCTCCAAGAGATCCACTGCCCTCTTCTGACTTCCCCTGGAGCAAACACTCACATGCACTAAAATGCATCTTTTTCTTTCTTTCTTTTGAGATTCAGTCTCTCTGGAGTCTCAGCTAGCCTGGAACTCAGTATGTGGACCAGGCTGGACTCAATCTCATAGAGATTCACCTGCTCTACCTCTC